GTCACCAGACTGTACAGGTAGCCAGAGAAGAGTCTTGCAAGCTTGCCCAAACTGCTTATTATTAGGTTGTAATTATCAAAGGAGACTCCATTTCGGAAAATTCTGACGTTTTATAAGGCAATGGGAGACGAAGTAGGCAACAACAAGATTCAAAGTGAGAGGCAACCGGCTTCTGATTAATTTCCGCCATAATGAATTCAACTCATAAATATGTATACATCATCACGGACAGCAGCCCACTTCTGGCAACACAGACTGTAATTTTTAAAATATAGGGGGGAAAGTACTGCTAAAACTAATTACAGGAGCACGCCGATTATCCGAATTTCCAGTTAACCGAAACTCCTCTGTCACTATTAATTCGGATAATCGGCGTTCTGTTGTAATAATATATTCGTATGATTTTGTGATTAATACCGCGTAGTATGAGGGCCAGCTCCAAATAATCCTACGAACACCTGAAAAAGCAGGGTGTGCGGGAGGGTTAGGAAAGGGGTGGCAAGGGCTCCGGGCAGTGCCATGGATTCATACGTTACCTTACAATTGGGGGTCACACACATCGAAATTTCATTTATGCGCGGTGTAAGACACAAAATGTTTTCGCCCGCTCAAATACTATGACCGTGGGTTCGAATTCCATTCGAGGCATTGGTGTCTATGAAGGTTTATTTTGTGTTTGTGTTGTCCTGTGTAGGTATCGGCTTTGCGATGGGCTGACCAACCGTCCAAGGAGTCCTAACAACTCTCTATAAAATTCAGATTTCAGAATTAGTTAATTGTGAATGGGCAGAAGCCAAAGAGCCTAATCCATCAGGGCAGAAGAAGACATGAGCCGGTCACGGTAACCGAGCGGTCTAAGGCATGTACTGTCTTCACTCGCTTGGAAACCGGGATCGTGGGTTCTAATTCCGCTCAGGGCATGGATGTTTAGTTTGTGTGTGTGCGTTTTTCTGTGTTTGTTTACAGGTAGAGGCCTTGCGACGAGCTGATCACCCACCCAAGGAGTCCTACCGAATGTGTAAGATCTAGAAAAACCGAAGTGAACGGAGATTTTCATGGAGGTAGGGTATGAATTAGAGTCGTCTAACTCAGAATAGGACAGTGTAATAACACGCTCTTTTTAATGCGGTAATGAACTTTTGGGTTTCATAGGAGGCTGGAAGTGTTTTGACCATCTGAATGACTGTCACTTTCCCTATGACTACTCCTTGCAGTAGGCCTCTTTTATTGATTTTAAAATGTGCTGCTAACAGAGCGAAACTACTGTACAATCTACCCATGCAACCTGCATATGTATTAATTAACGTGTGTTTCCATTGTATTCTATGAAGTGTACACGACATGGTAAAATAAATTTAAATTACATTTTCCGGACTAGGATAGCGCAGTAGGCATAAGGACTGGCTACGGGCTGGACGACGGAGGAGTCAGAGTTCGAGTCCTGGCGGGGTCAAATTTTCTTTTCGTCCAGACCGGTTCTGGAGCCCACCCAGCCTCCTACACAATGCGTACTTAGAGCGTTTTCTCCAGGGGTAAAGCAGTCGGGGCGTAACGCTGACACTCGCCAATCAATAAAACATAGATCTATACACCCATTCCCCCGTACGTCTTCATGGCGTAGTGCTTAATTAGTTAAAAAGGGGGGCAACTTCACTTTTATTTTCACTCTTTTTAAAACCAATTATCCTTTTTAACGTTTCACATCAGTACGTCTCGATTAAAACGTCATTTGAAGGTTGACTGTACCGGGAGGACCGATAGAAACCAAAGTAACAAATTACTAGCATAAGAAATTTAATCGAAGTTCACTACATAAGTTGGAAAATGTAAAACATGCAGTTCGTAGGATACATGGTTAAACTTACGTATACGACCTCTCCACTGCGTGTTCTTTTGAGCATCTCGTGTAAAATAAATTGTGTTTTCAGGAGCCATCAGCCGAATCGTTGCAGTTTAAGAATCCGACGTTTCGGAAACACTGTGTCACTCATTATATCAATCCAGACTGAAGTAAGAGACAATCGCCAAGACACTGGATTTGTTCTCCCTTTCGACACGACTGCTACCACATGAGACCCCGAGACAATTGTATTGACATTTAGAAGGCACGGGTCTGTCACGGAAAGGGAACGAATCATTTCCTTAAATTTTACGTCACTGTTTCAATACGTCACAAGGACGATTAGTATTGTACGACATGGCCGGAGACGACATAGGCTTGATAAGCGAGGCTGATCAATGGCCATTGTTCGGGGGCAGAGTCGTGAAGGTCAAGCTAGCATGAGTGTCTAGCCAGTCACTGCGACCTTATTGGTTTCTCTGCGAGACAGGAAAGGAAAAAGTATAAAACAGAAGTATTTGCAGGGAAAAAAACCGTTGTCTGAAAACAGACACAATTCAGCTACAATTATATATAACATTTAATCCTAATACTGAGATGTTCGACTTAAACATGAAAAGTATCCGGGAAGTAAAGATACAAGTCGAGTAAAAAAGCAATGGATTTCTTTTTGGCGTGTGAGATAGGAACCGTATGACAGGGCAGAGTTCCCCGGCCACAGTCACGGCAACGGTGTGCTCGCACTGTGTGTCTAAAATGGCCGTGTCGATTCAAATCCCGCCAAACGTGAGGTTCGTGCAGTGATTCGATTTCTTCACGCGAAAGGAGAAACTGCTGCTGAAATTCATCGCCAACTTGTTTCTGATTACGGCGAAAATGTTATGAACAGGCAAAACGTGGCAAAATGGAGTGGTGAATGAAGCGAGAAGAAGTGAAGTTCATGATGTAGGCCATCCGTTGTCACTGATGAAAACATTCGTGCTGACAGACGTGTAACCATCGAGGAACTGCATCAACAATGCCCAGAAGTGTCAAGAACTGTTCTCCATGCCTATTATTATTATTATTATTATTATTATTATTATTATTATTATTATTATTAATATTATTGGAGGGGGTGGGTTTCCCCATGCACCGCGAACAATTTGATCTATTGTGCGTCCCCCTATGATCTTCTACCAGCCTCTATACCCTACCGGTACTGGTGCTTGCCATCAGTCCCTACTCAGCCAACGAGGTCGGCCCCTACTGGCTCAGAGGTTTCTCGATGCTTCTCCCATCTACCAGAGTCGTTAGAGACTACTGTTGGGCGGGAAATGTCCTTAATTTAGCTCAGTGGCCTCCTTTGGAGACATGAGGTTCTTTTACGTGCCGTAAAGCTACGACACGGGACCCACGGCTTAAAGTCCCTCGCGGAGGACTTGTTCCCTGAATTTTTCCACCCTTAAAAATTCCACGACCTCCGCCGGGTTTGAACCCGCGTATCTTGAGTCATGAGGTGGGAACGTTACCCCTAGACTACGGAGGCCGCTTTATCCATATTTTTTGGACTTTGTAGCTTACGGGATATCATTCGTAGAACTTATGAGTATAGTGCGACGTTAGAAAAGAGTCCACATCAAAATATAATATTATCATTTCGCTGTGTTATTCTACTTCATTCGCTTGGCTACGAAAATATATTGTCACGTGTCAGAGTAATTCTCGATGGGGATTTGGATTGGATATTGGATTTATTGACCACTGTAACGCACGACTTTTGAATTCAAGTATAGTGCCAACGCTAATTTCCACGCTTTACAAATCACTATAGCACACGCAAAGTATTTGCATCTGCTGCAATCTCAACTAGTCGTTCCCTGGTAACGGCTACTAACAGCAGGGATTTTTCAACTGCGCCGGGCAAGTCTTCTCTTCACAGATTCCCTTACAATTCACTGCTAGCTCACACCGTTGCAACTCCGACGATCTTCCAAACCGTCTCGGTTCTAAGATCTCGGCACGGACCGCGTAGAAAATACCGTTCATTGTTTCGCTCCGATCATTTTCATGGGAACGTGTTTGTTTGCCAAGGCACTACCCAGTAACGCTGGGTATGCTTGCTAATTAAGACTCTGTTGTCTAGCAGCGAATTTTGTTTCGAGGTCGTTACCCAGTAACAGGTCTACATGCTACAGTATTTTATTTCACTTTTTCATATATTTTATCTTAAAATTATATTACTTTAGGAAAATGATGAGGCAACAATATGCAGCGAAATGGTTAAGAAGATGAGGATTATATTAAGGAGGAATTTTCAATGGTCGAATTATTCTGGTCCATCCTGAAAGCAATTCTTTCTAAGAAAACGAAAATACAATCAAGAAGGAACAGAAACTCTATCAGACAAAGCAAGAACGAATTATCTGCATGTAAGGAGTAAGATAAGCAAAAGCAGAGAGAGGCTGCTTTCGAGCGTCGTCACCAGAATTGAGTACAAAATCATAACAATGTAAAAAGAATATCTCGATATTGTGACAATGTTCAAATATTTGCGAGGGCAAGTAAAACATAGTAAACTAAATTACAGTCACAACTAAATTAAGAGTCGACCGAACTCGTGGCGTCCTTACCGCCATAGTTCAGAAAAATTTTCCCTTCAATTTGCTACCTAGAAACTTAAAGTACTGTGACATGTTGACCCGTTGTCAGGTAAGGGCCGCTAAATAAGCAACTATACAACAGCCGTTGCTAGATAACGGCCCCGCCAACATACACAAAAGCAATAATACCCACTCGAGGCATGGATGGCTGTGTGTGTTTATTCTGTATTTGTGCTGCCCTGTGCGTAGGTAGCGGTCTTTCGACGGGCTGATCCCCCGTCCAAGGAGTCCTACCGACTGCGTAATACGATCAAGAAGTTTAAAAGCAACCAAGGTCCAACAAAAGGCTGCAGAGCCATAGATAGAGAGGTGTAGATGGGAAGATAATGTGAAAACAGATCCTAAATAGGATAACAGCTGATATGAGTTCATGACAAAGTTCCAAAATCATACATTTGAATACAGAGTGTAAAAGGACGACGACAATAGTGAAAACTGCATATGTATATATAGGAGTTACGAAAGCCTCTCTTGGGACAACGAAAAATTAAAAAAGAAATGTTCATAACAAAACTTACCAATGGCTTTATTTTCTGTTAAGGTGTCATTATTGTCGTAAGCTGCCCTGTGGTGTTGCTGGGTCGCAGTGATGTTCACTTCTTATCACATTTGTAGCGCGCCGTTTCTCCAACGCACGCTCCCTGGAAAGTGATTGATGTGTTTTGAAGGAGCAGCTGGTTTAGGGCTGAATACTTAAGGCACTAATTATAAAATTCCTCTCGCATAGCACAGTGATTTAGTAACATTCTTGTTGCTATAGATTTTAAATATCACTACCCACTATAACTATGAGATATGTATTTACAAAGGTAATTAATACACAGAAAAATCAGTCACATTTTTACATGCGTAGTTCCCACGTCCCTGGTAATCCAGTTACAAAATGATCAATCCCGTTTCGTTCGATAGACCCGCGTTCTTCCTGCATTTCAAGGCATTTTGCTATATTCCATGTACGTTTTTGGAAGTGCAATTTACTTTTAATTTATTCAGCAAATAATGGAATTGGAAGAATTTAATTTCGATGACAGATTCCTTCTCTCTAATTCCACGTAGGCTTAGTTTATTGTTTTACCTAAAGTTGAATCGGAAATTGGAATGCTTTCTTTCATCTTTCCACACAGTCTATTGCACACTAAATGAAAATTAAGATACATGTTAAAATGTATTTGTATACGTTAAAACTTCGGGGCATGTGGTAGCGTACTTGGTTGAGGCACTGTACTACAAGCCGGAAGGCCGTGGGGTTGATTCGTGATGAGGTAAATGGATTTTTCAATTTACCTAGTCCTTCTAGCAGCACTATGACCCTGGGGTCGACTCAGCCTTTAACAGAAATGAGTGCAAGGAATCATCTTGCGGATAAGGGAAACCAGCGCGTAGGACAGACAACCTTGTCGCCATCTATGAAGCGATTGTCTAGAAAATGTGGGAGCCTCGACATCTCACAAGCCTATGGGTCTCCAAAGTTTGTACAGGGACAGCTGTTTCTAGTTATATCTTCAGCTGTGTTCTATATTGCAATCGAATTCTTATTCTGTGCAATTATAAGAATAATTATAACAACAATTTTGAAAGGATTACAAGTATTTTAAACCATTTTAATTGGAAAGTTTCTTTCAACCACTACAAGAAAATTGCGTCACTGTACTTAAGTTATAGTACTTCGTGATCTGCTTCAGATATTATTGGTTGTTGCGTCAGAAACAACTGTCCTAATATTGCTCTGTATCTTGGGCCAATGTTTCATTTTTCCAAACAGTACGTCAAATGAACAATGTTCTCCACTCCATTTCAATTCTTATATAAATTCCACAACTCTAAGAACCATAAATTAGCTTAAATTAAATTTACCGTTCTTATAATAAGAAGATATCACGGATAAGTCTATCCTCATCTGCTTGTTCCGAAGTTACAAGTCCATTTTCTCCATGCTCTTCCTTCAGTGCCCTGTGGCGCATTCCGAGAGTTCAAGGTTATTCAGAAAGTTTCTCATTCATTTCTTATCTATCTTTTTGTGTTTCGTCCTCTTCCACTTCCTAAGAAAATGAATTATGGAGGTAGTTTCTGGTGTCATATTGTAAATACCTGAAAGATTATCGGAATTGCGACATTGGTGGCTTCCATTACAGACGACTTCTATTTGTTCCTGTGGAGATGTCGCCTACAGCAGCCTTGCTTCTCACCACCAATTCTCCTGAAAGAGAAAACATATTCAGAAACTTTATACGCTTTGGCTACAGCAGTTTCTGGGAAATAATTCAAGACAACTTGAATAACAGTCCATGATCGTAAGGAAGCGATTCGCTGCACATGACACACGAGGCTGTACTGTTTATTTCCGCAGTTGCGGGTTCTCTCCATGTGGTAACGTGAAGCAGGTTAGCTAAACCGTAGAGGTCCAACTGACCGAGGAATATAGCTTTAATTGACATATACCTTTTTAATATCGAATAATATTATGTGTTATAATTGTAGTTCGTGTTATGCGAGATCGCTGCATATACGTAAACCTGTTTATCTCTTCTTTAAGTTGGTTATTTAACGACGCTGTCAGAATCGACACTATACAGAATGTCCCAGGAGGAAAGGTCAGTATTCTGGGACTTCATAATATCGGCCATTCTACGTAAGAATTGTATATGTACATGTATTCTATTCCGAACGGTTTCCGAGATAGAGCTATTTCACTGTGCAGGACACTGTACACACGAGCAACACGCCATTTCCTCACACGAGTTGCAAAGTACACTGATGCTGACGGTGGAATTTTCGAAAATTATACTAGGTAAATTGTACCAACTTGGTCACGAGGACCGCGGCATAGCTCAAGCGGTTAATCGCTGGCTTCCCACTTCGGCGGCCCGGCTTCGATCCCGGGTCTGGTCAAGTTGGATTTGTGGTGGACAAAGTGGCGCTGGGGCAGGTTTTCTCCGACTACTTCGGTTTCCCCTGCCATTATTCATCCCACCATTGCTCCACAACCACCCTCACCTATCATCTGGGGCTGGTACAATAGACCAGAAGTGGCAGCAGTACAAGGGACTAAGTCCACCTCACTAGCAATAAAAAAACTTGGTCACTTGACCAATAAATATTGGTATTAGAATCAGTACGTAATACCAAACATTTCGGAACTGTGCAGTGAAATAACTCTATCTCGGAAACCGTTCAGAATAGTACAAATGCACATACACAACTTTTTGCTTCGAATGAACGATCCTATGACCTTCCAGAATATTGACCTATCCTCCTGAGACACCCTGTATATAGCGTAGAAGATAGGATGACTAAAGAAAGTGAAGCAGTTTGTGGAATGAGAACTGACAAGCAAAACCAAAGTACTCGAAGAAAACCCACCCAAGGGTCACTTTCTCCACCAAAAATCTCACATAACCCGATCTGGAATCGAAATGGGACCGCTGAGATGGGAAGGCCGCGACTGACAGCTTAAGGTATGTTAATCCTAAGCCGGTGTCACTGCAGTATGTACTTGACGAGTTTTGAAATGTAAAATTGTGCAACAGTCGAAAGAAAGTACTTCGCGACCCCTTCGTCATAAACGAATTTAACTCCATCGCTGACCGCAAAATAAAGACATCTCTGTGCTTAATTAGTTAAGCACCAGGATATGGAGGTATATGGGGGAGTGGAGGTATAGTTCCACCATTCTTGACCTCAGCACTAGATGAAGTTTGGTGGTCAGTTTCACGCCCCAACCGCTTTATCCCCTGGAAAGAGTCTCTGTAACCATTTCGTAGGATGCTAGGTGGGCCCCAGGGCCGGTCTGGATGCTGTCTAGAGGAGAACCCTTGCCCCGGTCGGGAAGTGAGACCTGGCAATCCAGCCTGTGGTCCATCGCTGTAGAGTGAATTAATTGCGTATTCAAATTATTATATTATATCCATGATTGTTGTTCTCTTAAAAAGTCAAAGGCAAAGCCATCCCTGTAACAGGCCGTGGAAGTCCATAGATTTGTGAGATGTCGAGACTCCCACATTTTCCCCAGACAATCGGCTCGCAGATGGCGGTGAAACTGTCAGCCTTGCGCGCCGCCCGCATCTTTACCCCAGGAATATTCCTGATACTCATTTCCGTTAAAGGCTGAGTTGAAACCAGGGCGATAGTGCGGCTGAAAGGATTAGGTCAGCAGAAAAGTTCAATCAGTTTATCGGGAATTGAGCCCGAGACTTTCCGACTTGTAGCGTAATGCCTCAACCAACTACGCTACCGCATGACCCCTTTCTCTTAATGAGAGAATTTGCTATTGTTCTACAGTGAAGAAGCCTTATGGGACAGTACTCACAAATACTTGCCAGGCTGGCATATGTGTGCAGTACTTTATTTACCAGTTAGGGTACATTCTTGACAATTAGTTACAAACGCTACATTACCCCCTGCCCCACGTAAGTCCAAGGGAATTCAAGCAATAATATGGTACGTCATCCTTCCGGTCACCAAAGAATTTACTGAACCAGTAAATTTTATTCAAGAGAACTAGGATCCTGTTTATTTAAACCAAATTAAGATTTAAGATTACAATTGGATGCAAAGCACTTTGTAATAGAATATTTCTGTCTCCTAGGATATAATGCTGTAGATTTAGTTGAAAATCAACCGACGTTTCCGTAGAACATATAGTCATCTTCAGGCTTGAAGAATAAACCAAGCAAGAAATAAGCCTGAAGCAGGAAGCTCAATGTTTCATTGTCACTGAATGAAAATTACTGTGCTTAGATACGAGTACGTAACTACCTTCATGGTGCTAAGCCCTTCTTAAGAAGCCACTAGTTGTGCAGCTACTCAAGTGCTTCCCAGCATTTATGGAACCCGAAGGTCCATTTCCGTTCACAAGAGCCCTCCAGCGGTCCCTATTCTCAGCCATATCAGTCCAGTCCATACCACCCCATCCTATCTAAGAACCATTTTAATATTACCCATGCACCTATGTCTTGGTCTTCGTAGTGGTCTCTTTCCTTCTGGCGTTCCCACAAATATCCTATATGCATTCCTCTTCTCCCTATTCGTTCTATATTCTCTGTCCATCTCATCTAATTATACTTGGCGAAAAGTACAAGTTATGAAGTTATGGAGGTGAGTTGTCAGCTTCACGCCAGGACCGCTTTATCCCTGACATGCACTGGATAGGAGGCTGGGTGGGCCCCAGACCCGGTCTGGACGCTGTGGAGAAGAGAAAACTCTTTCTGCTGCCGGGAATCTAATGATTTAATAAAAGAGGAATTTGAAAGATGAGGAAAGAAGCAGTGGTGACCTAATTTGGGGTATTATTCCGAAATTCACCTCCAGTAATTGTGAAAACTATGCAATAGAAGCCTTAGTGAGGGTAGCTGGCGTTTGAATAGAAGTCATAACCGTTACCGGTTGAGTAAGTGTGTTCGGTACTACTAATCTGATTGATATTCAGAGTCTACACATCCGCTGAGCGATTTAACTCTGGCTGTAGCGGTAAAATGTGAAACTTCCTGCTCACGAACTCCAGGCAGAACCTAACCGACATTCTCAGATACAGCTCCTTTTGCAAAAAGCATACATAGTCTCTGGTTTCCCACCGCGGCGGCCCGGGTTCGAGCCCGGGTCAGAACATGTGGGATTTGTGGTGGACAAAATGGCAGTGGGTCAGGCTTTCTCCGAGTACTTCGGTTTCCCCTGCCAATTCTCATTCCACCAACTGCTCCACGGTCATCATCATCTATCATCTGGGCGTGGTACAATAGGCCAATAGTGGCCACAGTACCAAGTGGACTCAATCTCACCCCACTAGGAAGAAGAAGAAGAAGAAGAAGAAGACAAGTACCTATTGGTTATACCATCGTGACTCGGTGTTGAACGACCCCTTTTATGAAAAGAAACTGCATCATATGACGGTCAAGGTGGACGGGCTGTATAAGCTGCTGCAATGTTCCTGAAAATGTTAATTGCAATGGGGTACTCAGTTGCTCGTCTGTGATGTCCACAATCACGTACGCACTGCTCGCAACGCGTAATTGGAGAGCAGTGTGTCGGGAACGAGTCCAGTGCTTTGAAGTGGTCTGCAGAATTCAATATCTTCCATCGGTTTTAAGCCATTCCTTGCCTGAGGGTTGTACAATCCGACAACTGAGAGATAAACACAAGAGAACTGGACATTCATTTCCCTCTGCATTGTAGCGTAGACCTACGGGTATCTACTAGGCCTACAACTACCTAAGCTTATACCTATTCAGACATATATGAGTTAACCAGGCCTATAGATTTGTAGGGCCGGTCACGGTAGCCGAGCGGTCTAAGGCATGCACTGTCTTGGCTCGCTCGAATGCCAGGATCGTGGGTTCGAATCCCACTCAGGGCATGGATGTTTGTGTGCGTTTTTCTGTGTTTGTCTACAGGTAGAGGCCTTGCGACGAGCTGATCACCCGCCCAAGGAGTCTTACCGAATGTGTAAGATCTAGTAAACCGAAGTGAAACGGAGAGTTTCTTGGAAGTAGGCCTAGGCCCAAATTGGGGCTGTAGCGCCACAGAAAAAAAAAATTAATATAATTAGAATGTTCAAATCAGAAGGCTGAGATGGGCAGGGCATGTAGCAATTATGGCGGAGAAGAGGATCGACACAGGATATGATTGGGAAAGCCAGAAGGAGAGAGACAACTAAGAAGACTTAGACGTAAGTAGAAGGATAATATTAAAATATACCTTAGAGAAGTAGGATTGGGTTGTATGAACTGGATTCATCTGGCTCAGGAGAGGGATCAGTGAACTCATGTGAACACGGTAATAAACTTTCGGATTTCATAGAATGTTCGGAAATTCTTGAGTTCCAGAGTAACTAGCAGTTTCTCAAGTAGGGCTTTATGGAGTGAGTTTGGTTTGGTTTCCTCAGTACTTAGACGAGAATTATGGAGTGGCGTACTAATATCTGCTGTTGAAACAGAGTTACCGCATTCTTCCAAATGGATGCAAATTGTCCAGTCATCATCACTGCATAACCTGTGTAGTAAGTAAATCGTCGTCAAATAAACCAAGAAACAAATAGTATTTCTGAAATACAAGAGCCCTGCCGAAGTGGGTGAAGTGAAGCCAGCGTATGTAATCTTGCAGGTGTAACTTTTCACACACAGCCAGAGCCTCTGAGCTGACTTTATGGGATATTAATCAGACAACTGAACAATTATACAGCAAGTATTATGCTTTAAAGCATAA